TCATATACATACATCACATTTTTCAAGCTTCTTCTGCAATCTGAAAGACTAGACTGAGCGCAAAGGGTTACTGTCAAAAACTCACACTCGTTATAACAAGAATGCCGAGGTATGGACAAAGGTCGAACTAGGGGCGGAACTCGAACCCACATCTTCCGCTTACTGGTCGCTTGCGTTATCTATTACGCTATCCGGGACACTCTTACCTTCTCAGCTCAATGGCATCTTATGCCATAGTCTTCAGCATTTACACGTTTAACGTGATGAGCCTGTTAGCCGATAGTGAACCCCAAGGCTGAAGGCTTTTGTTCGACTGGACACTCCATCTCAATGGAGTAGTCGACAAAAATCAAAAAAGTAGAGAGCAACTGTACTAGATTATAGAGCAGAAAATTATCTATCAAATGGCATAGAACATAAGGGAAACAATGCTCATTTTTCATATGAAAACTTGTGTAAAATCCCCGATTACTTATGGGCCAATCCCGTAGTAACTCTTTAGAAGAAATATTCTTTCCCTAGGAATCGAAAGCTGCTAAACTCTAATGTTATCGCGGGACCGCCAGACCATTGAAGGTCATAATTTGCCTGTTCCATATGGACGCGCCTGGTGAAAAGCGCAGTTCTTCGGGAAGCTCAAACTTCTTTTCTCAAGTCACAAAATATTTGGGGAGTCGTTGCCGAGTTGTTCAACTAGTGATAATCTGAGTCACTTCAACTAGTGGCAGCCCATAAGTTTAACCACTCTCTCTAAAATGGGGAGCAGTCATTAACTGGTAACCTTCCGATCAAGTCCAACGAATACAAGAGCAAATCATGAGCTAATAATCATCCATCTCGGGGGTGGAGATGTGGTTCTCTGTCTCCGTCTTCGTCAGGGTCTGTTTCGTCTGGACCCTAGCGACCATCGCCAGTCTCGCAGCTGCTTCTTTTGTTGCCCCTAAATATGGACTTGAAACGGAAAAAAAACTGTGGATGAGGCAGCTCTTCTCACGTAATCAAAAACGCTCGGCTCTGACAAGCCTACTATATTATCCTGGCTGTGTGGCTACGCCACCGTTTCGATGATAGAGTCAAACCCGACTTGGTTAGTTTTGTCTTCAGAGCTACGTTCTCTTACATGAGCAATATGTCACACTCGTTATGCGCAAAAACGTCTGTCACATATGCTATTAGTTCTAACAGCCGCAATCATCCACACTAGCAAATCCCCTTGCAAATTTCGAAGACGAACTTCATGCCAAATGGTTGCTGCATTTTGTTTGACGCACTCTCTACCCCTAGTGACAGAATCCACCGAATTTGGTAGCCTAGCTCGTTTGAGAACCGATACCTGCATGGCACACGCCGGGCAGGGACAGCCGAGTGGTCAAGAGTGTAAACTTACGTCTGCACCACTTTGGAAGCTTGATCCCTGCCGAGGCAAAGACCATACCTCGCAAAAATTGCAGAAATGGTGCCGATAACAGTGTCAGATCCAGGCTGATAGGCTGTCTGATGGGGAATCCCAGCACCATTAACCATGTCTAGAAGTCGCAATGGAATCAGGACCAGTGCTAGGATGTCACTCGGAAGTGGCGCGCAGAACCCTCGCCCGAGTTCTGTGGTCAGCATGCGAGGGCTACCGAGGGGTGAATGACCTCGATCAAATAAGCTAATTCGAATTGGGATTCTGAACGTGGGTGACCGCAAAGTTTAGAGAGGTCGCAGATCTGATGAAAAGAAGGAACATCAAATCGTATGCCTCCAGGAAACGCTCTGAAAAGGAGCCAAGGCCCGCGAGATTGGAGTAGGGATCAAACTCACCCACAATCGTGGAGACGCTAAACGGGATGCGATGGCCAGTGGCGGAGCCCTCAAATACTGTGTCTCCCGCAGCGAAAAGAATCAGCGACCGAGTTATGGGCGTAAGAGTGGAGAATGTCACATTAGATAGCTTGACCTCACTGAGGTCGACCCCTAACAAATAGTGTTATCAAAGAGATTGCAAATCTTTAACACGTTGACGACATTATGAGCCACCGGTGGTTCATAAGTGAGTGGCCACGTGGGACAATATGAGCCACCGGTGGCTCAAAACATTCTCCACCACCTTTCGGGTTCAGTCTCAATCGATCTTTTTCTTGCTTTCGAATAACCTGTGGAAGGTGAATGTCCAACAGGGATGAGCAAGAAAAATGTTGCTGCTTCCATGATATATTAGATTGTTGCATAAGTTCTTATACACGACTTTTTTGTAAAAAAACGAACCAGCCTGGAGATTAGAGGTATGCACCATCACCATTCACTACTCGACGCCAGCGCTCAGGCAGCTTGTCGATTCCATCCTTCCAGAACGACGGAGGCTGGGACTTGAAGAAGTCGTCGAGCGCCTTTCTGACCTGATCCTTTGTTTCGAACTTTTTTCCGTCCAGATAGCGCTGCAGGTGGCTGAACAGCCAGTAGTCAGAAGGAGCGAGGTCAGGGCTGTAGGGAGGGTGGGCGACCATCAGCCATCCGTACTTCTCCAGCTCGGCCTGGGTCGCCTTTGCAGTGTGAGGTCGGGCGTTGTCATGGTGGAAGTAGATTTCCGCATTCCTTCCACGAGTACGGTCGACGTGATCTTTCAATTTCCGCAGCTGGGTCACGTATGTGGAAGCGTCAATCGTCTGTCCCTTCTCCAGCAGCTCCCAGTACTCCATGCCTCTTCTGGACCACCAACAGGACAGGAGAACCTTTTTGGGGTGAAGGTCGGCCTTTGGGGTGGCTTCTGGCTGTTCTCCTTTGTCGACCCACTGCCGCTTCCTCACAGGGTTATCGTAGAGGACCCACTTCTCATCTCCAGTGATCATCGAGTTGAGAAAGTGAAGCCTCTTTTGGAAAGTGAGGAGAGAAGTGCAGGTGGTCACCCTCCTCGAGAGGTCATAAGCGGACAGTTCATGTGGGACCCATCGACCAAGCTTTGCTACCTTGCCGAGCTTTTCTAGTCCACGTGCAACCGTCGAATGATCATAGCTAAGCATGGTCGCCATTTCTCTGGTGGTGAGGTACGGGTCCTCCTCCACGGTGGAACGTAGTACTTCCAAATCCAACTCCATCGGCCGACCCGACCTCGGAGCATCTTCGAGAGAAAAGTCTCCTTTCTTGAATTTGGCGAACCAATTCTTGCATGTCATGAGATGACGTCCTCACCGTATGTATCCACCAGCTTGGTATGGGCTTCCTTTGCATTCCAGCCGAAATCGTGGAGCAAAACCAAACAGTGGCGCAGGTACGTTTTGTCACAGTGCAAATTGTGCGACATTGTGTACTGCAAATGCAAGCTCGGTGAGTGATAGCTAGTGTAATGAAAGAGTATAATGTACACGTCACGCACACGTGATGACGTAATACCAACATCCATGCGAACGAAATAGGAGAGGATCAAACACGTGTATAAGAACTTATGCAACAACCTAATATTTTGAATTGAAAATTGAAATTTTTCAACTAGCTACTGCTGCGGCAGAAACCTCCAAAATAGTTCTTTTTGGACGAAACCTTGGCTGCAGGGACTGCGCGGGGCTTTGATCATGAACGTGAGATCTTATTTGTCGTTGGCGCCATATGGCGCCAGTAGGCGCCATTTCGGCGCTAGCAGTCTTTTTGGCACCGAATGCGATAGAAACCTCCATAGCTAGGTTATTTGACATCCTTGTCACGAAATATCGTTGCCTTCCAGTGTTGGCGCCACCTGGCGCCAGCGGGCGCCACTTTGGCGCCAGCAATCTTTTGGCACCGAATCGGGTGCAAATTTGAATACCGTTAATTGTGAGACAAGATATGAAAATTCGAAATACGCAACAAACCTTTTGAAAAGTGGGTGGGGCCCGCTTTTCAACGGTATGGCCGTCTACCAATCACTGTAATGTGTGAAAAGCAGGAAGTTCCTCAAAAAACTTAGAAACAGAAGTTATAGCACAGATTTTGGAAATCACGATCGCGCTAAAAAGTGGGCGTGATCGCAGAGGGCGGGGCATGAGATGGCATCCAATAGGGTCAAGGATGGTTGAAATAGCAGTCCCTGCACGATTGACTAATCATTTTGCGAAATTTGACATAGCGGCAAAAAAGTGGTCCACGAGGGACAAGTATGAGCCACCGTGGCTCATAGTCGTTCAAACGCGATTGCCTTCAACGTAATAACATACAACGGTATCTAAGAGGTCGCGCGGAGCGAGACACTCGCGCCTCTCACATTAAATTAGAATTGATGCATTAAAGTCTTCCAAGCTTTCGTATTGGTATGTATTACAGGCTATTACTTAGAAAATGAGCTTTAATTATCAAACGTAGCATCAACGTAATCTATAAATGATTAACTAAACCCGTAAATCAGCGACATACATCAATGAACGGAGTTCAAATTCATCAAGACCTAGTCAGTAATGAAAATATGGTATCATCAACATCAGTTCGATTAACGGTTATTGAGTAAAGCCAGATGAAATTTTCCGACGAGAACGTGGTGTTATGAGGGCGTTGATTCGTGTCGTGGATGTGAATTGATAGATTCTCTAGTCGATGTTGGTGACAGGATATGATACATCGTAGCGAAGTAACACGGGTTATGTGCAGACACGCTGCATTTGATACTGGAATTCTCTAGGATTTGAGTTGGTGACGGTCACTTCAGCATTCTTTCTGACCATTCTTTGATTCTTTTGGTTATATCCTTTATTAGCCTCATTAAAATGTGAAGGCTTGAGTTCACTATTTTTGCAATTATCACAATAGTGATTGGGCCACACATAGGTGATTCCCAATGCGCCTATTCTTACTCCTATTGCTGCAAGTGTTAGTTTCCACTTGTTTTTTTATCACATTTACTGTTGGTTCCAAATCTCGAACATGGAAACTTTTTCATGATGGCCATGCTGCGGATTCAACATCCCCTCTTCGAAGTACATTTTCGGGAAAATATGTCACGTGGTAGTGTAACTGTCCTCTCAGTTCCAAGGATAGTTCCTTCTTATCGCATATCACAAAGCATTTTTGCGCGATGAGAGATTTATCAAATCGTAGCGCGATTTATGATGTTCTATTGGAAGACATCTTGGCAGCTGTAGCAACCCTTCACTGAGGCTGAGCTCGACGGAACATTGTTGTTCTATGACGAATTCCGCACTATTGATCAGTAAGCTTGATTTGATGGCAAGGTTACCTCGCTCTTCGTGGAGTGAGCGTAAATCTGCATATTGTCATAGCTTAGATCTACAGATGGAGTGTATATTGGCAGCCGATTTTCTATCTCTGCTCTAATGTCCCTTATTGCTTGTTGTGGACAATGAAAAACTGTGGCGTTTTGTAGCTATTGCAGTTACACACCATCTGGTTGCTGCAGTTATTACTAGAGCTTCTTCCTGTGAGATTGCAAAGCGTTGATCAAACAGGGATGCACTTGGTCTCTGAATTGATATCACTGTGAGAGCTATCTCTTCATGCGATTGTGTGACGTATGGCATGAGAGTGAATTCCCTGTGTTGTTCCATATTATGGACTTTGAATTCTACTTCGAATTCGATTAAGGGTGTCCAGTCTTTGCAACTGACGACCTCATACACTGATTTTGATATCGGTATTTGGGCGACCCTGATGAATGAACATGCTTGTACAGGCAGAAAGCATCCACATAATAGTCCACCGCAAGTATGCTCGCAAGCAGAGTATCCCGGATATTTGTTGGCTACCTGTAGTTCCTCTACGTTTTCGTGAGGTTTCAAGGTATTACACCTGTTCTGAGTACAGGATCCTGCCTCTGCACATCTTGTTTTGTGGAAGATTTTGTGCTTCGTGTCTCGTGTGAAGAATAGGAGTGTTTTCGAGCACACCAATTTGAGTGGTTTTTGTCGGATTTTTATCATTCCATTGTTCTGTTTTCGTATCTGGCGTTGATACAGAGTTCCGATTGGATGTGGTTGAAGAGAACTTCTTGATTATACTCGTAAGCAGCAGTTCCCTTTATTGTTGCAGATCAGATCTACAGTGTGTCTCATGAAACTAGATATGACAAGGAAGACCTCATTGTTGTTACTCTTGTGGAGACGCTGAGCGGCTCTTGGATTGAAGGAGTTCATGACAACGATTTCTTGAGCAGTGCCTATATTGTTGTGGTGACTGGCTACCAGCTGCTTTATAATCCTCGCGCTTATTAATATGGTAGTTCCAAGGATGTATATTATTATAGCAATAGTAGCTATTGCCCCAATAGGCCAACAGTGTGGGTTGCCTATTAGAGAGCTCGTCATGAGTTTGCTCGCATGTTCGCAGAAGTGCTATGGGAGGACATTCTACGGTTTCGGTGGCGTTGGTTTTCCAGAATTCTAGTTGAAACCGTAGCGAGCTCATAAAGAGGAGAAGCTGGCATTTCAAGAACTAGTTGTTTATGAAGGTTCTGCACTCTTCGTTGAAGCAGAGTTCAAAACTTGCGTTCTGGATGTTGACGATCGCTGATCCGTCGGTACATATAAGGTTGTTATTAGCCGACGCTGTACTTATTACGCACAGTAGGATTGCAAGCGTTGTCCACTTTGAACAGTATGTACTTGATTGGGTGGACTGGTCATCAAGATCTCTTTCGAAGTCTCGTATCACCTCGTAAGCTCGAGTTTTTGATGCTCTTTCTTGGTTTCTTCGAGGAGCTATTGGACGGCTGTTTTGCTGTGGTGGGGTCTTCTACCTCATCAACCACTTCTTCCAGCCTAGATTGTGTAGCGGCCGGTTCTGCTTCTGGCCTTCCTCTACTGCTTCGTCATACGATCGAATTTCAAGAGGATATATTTTGTTGAGAGGCCTGTGCAGTTCTGTATGGTTGGGCATGCTGAGTTTGGCGGATCTTATCATGCCGTCAGCGCTCCTTATAAGCTCTTTTATTCTCCCATAGAGCCAGTTGCCTCTAGGTAGCAGTTCTTGTTCTACTATCACAATTTCCCCTATTTGAGGGAATTTGGAGACATGTCTCGGTTGATTGAGTTTTTTGTGTGGCTGTCCCTCAAGGCCAGTGAGGTAGTCTGTATTCCACTTTTCCCAAAACTTAATTGATATCGTTTCGGCTGATGCAATTGCCTCTTTGGCTTGTGATACTGACTGAATGAGCTCTGGATCGAAATCGTAGTCAGATCTGTCAGAGGTCTGATGTGCACCTGGTAGTGAAAACTTGAGGTTTCCTTGTAGAAAGTCTACTGGACGTAGCGGAATTTCGTCAATGTCCGTAAGACTAATTTTGGTAAGAGGTCGAGTGTTCAAGATCGCCTCAATTTGTGCAATTGCGGTGGTCATTTCGATGAACGTTAGCTTTTTGCGTCCAGTCGCTTTCGCAAATCTCTTACTGAGCCTACTGACCGTTTCCATACTCCGCCCATCCACGGGGCGCATGGGGGATTGAAAATCCATTTTATGCCTTCGGAAGAGCTATAGGACATGACTGATTGATTGGTTGTGTCGTTGTGTTGTTCCGAAAGAGGTTGTCAATAACGGTTTGTCCGAGCTTGAAATTTGAGCCGCAATCGGTGCGTATCAGTTTTGGAACACCTCTTCTTGACACGAAGCGGACAAAGCTGTTAAGAAAGGCAAGTGCTGTCATGTTCTCGACAACTTCCAGATGTATAGCTCTCGTTGTGAGACACGTGTATAGGCACACATACATCTTTTCCTGTTCCTTTGAGTCGTATGGACCCAGGAAGTCGCAGCCGACGTTTTGGAACGGCTTCGCTACCACGACGTCTCTGGGTAGCGAGGTCATGTCTGGTGCTCCGAACGGAAGCCCGTTACATCGCCTGCAAATCACACAGTTTTTCAATATTTTTTTGATTGCTCTTGATGGCTGCGGGATCCAAAACCTTTGCCGTAATAGTGCACGAGGTGGGCTCTGCCGCAGTGTGCATTGTCTTGATCAGTAGGCTCTATTATCAAGCGAGGTAGATCGTTTGATATGTAGATAGGCGATTTTGTATCGTGCGGTAGTATCGCATTGCGGTCTGGATCCATATCGAATTATCTCATTTTGATCCCGAATTATACTCATGTTGGGAAAGCGTTTTCGCAATTCTTCTATGTTTGTTTTGCGATGTTCTGAGGTGAACAGCAGTGTTTCTGCAGCCGCTATGTCATCCGAGTCAATTTCTGAGTCTTCTGAGAAACTTGTGAGACTCTTATAGACGACGGGAGCAGCCCTGTTTAGGTTGCATCGACGTACCCATTTGGATAGAGTTTTTCCTACCACTGCAAGTGTGCGTAGTACTCGCGTATACCTCGAAAACCGAGTGGTGTCAATCAACGGTTGATGAGGTGTGGTAACGACCGGATGTGAAGTGATCATGGTCGGCTGCGTTATCTCTTCCATATTCATTATGTCGACGTTTTCCTCTATGTTTTCAGGGCCCCTCACCCAGTCATGGTTTGCAATTGTGTTTGCTGTGAGGCCTCTTGTTCCAGCATCTGCTGGATTGTAATGTGTAGGGATGTAGTAGAAGCATACACTCGTCTTTTTTGCTTCTTCCATTAGTTGCTTAGTATCAATTATGCGCCTCTTCTGATTGGTTACAAACGGAGGCAGTTTGCGTGTTGATTTCAACCACGCTAGCGCTATTTCGCTGTCAGATGCAATGTTGACATTAGAAATATTCACTCCCAATTTGCTTTGTAGTGTATTTGCTAACCTTATGCCGCTTAAGATCCCGAGCAGTTCTAACCTTGGTATACACTGCGTCCTAAAAGTATAGTTTCACCCATAAATCTCACAATATCCCGCCCTACACGACGTTTTCAAAAAAGCCTCTAGATAGAAAATGTGGTAATTACCAGTGCCAATTTGCATGCCAACACCGAGAACTAACTTTCCAGAGCAACTTCAATTTTCTTTATTTTTTGAAAATTTCTCACTTTGACAATGTCCCAAAAGTATAGTTCCACCACATATTTTCCACTGCGTCTCATTTTTTTCGGGTAAAACTGTCTCATCATCATTACTTTCACCTTTTCCAGAGTTATGGCGAGAGGACATTCATTGTCGGACTTCGAAAAAGGGCAGATTCATTTTTTTCAAGGCTCAAGGACTGTCGAACCGTCAAATCGCAAGGGAGTTGGGCCGCAGTCATCATGTTATCAATAATTTTGTCAGGGAACCCGCAGGATATGGAATCAAGAAGAGTTCTGGACGTCCTCCTTCGCTGTCTGATCGAGATAAGCGCCGTATCCTAAGAGAAGCGTCCAACTCCACGATGTCATGCAGGGAAATAAAGTCATCTCTGAAGCTCAATGTCTCGAAAAATACTGTTTGGCGTGTCTTGAAGAAGTCGGAGTTCATTCTCAGAGAGAAAATGAGGAAGGCACCGTTCCTGACAGAACACCATCGCGAAAACCGAATGCCTTCGCTAGATGCTGCTGAACCGATGAGAGTGACTATAGCTTTTGGCTGCGATTTCCTACTTCCTGCTTGTTTGTCTTGTTTTTTCAGTTTTTTTTCTCTACGTCGCGTTTCCGATGAGAAGAAATTCAGCTGCGACGCCCAGATGGAAATCGATTTTACTGGCACGATCTGAGGAAAGATAAGCTCAATTTTTCGAGGCGGAACTTCAGAGGGGTGGTGTCATGGTCTGGGCTGCGATCGCATCAACGGGACGTTCTGAAGCTGTGCTTCGTATCGAAGAAAATGAATTCTTCCGACCATGTAAATGACATGCGACGAGGTTTGCTTCCTTTCTGGATTCGTCCTGTTCTCATGCAAGACAATGCACCAATTCATGTCAGCCGAAGCACTCGAGCGTGGTTCAGTCGTCATCAAATCGCTCTTTTGCCCTGGCCAGCGAATAGCCCTGACTAAACCCAATCGAGAATGTGTGGGGCTTCATGGTACGCAAGATCTACGCGCACAATGCGCGATTCGAAAATGTCCGTGAGCTCAAGGAGGCATCATTGATGCATGGCACCATGTCGACAGAAGACTTATTGACAACCTCTATTCGAGCATGGACAACCGCATTTTCCAACTTATTCAAAGGAATGGGGCTGCAATAGATTATTGAATTAACAATTTATTCATTTTGTTGCTTTTATGTTGTTTTATGAATAGGTAGATTCGTTCAGTGGAACTACACTTTTGAGACATTGTCAAAGTGAGATTTCAAAAAATAAAGAAAATTGAAGTTGCTCTGGAAAGTTAGTTCTCTGGCATGCAAATTGGCACTGGTAATTACCACATTTTCTATCTAGAGGCTTTTTTGAAAACGTCGTGTAGGGCGGGATATTGTGAGATTTATGGGTGGAACTATACTTTTGGGACGCAGTGTACTTTGAACAGTCTTTTTCGGTGTTAGACGTGTTTTTCACTCATTAGCTGGGAAATCGCATTAGTCTTGTTGTTTTGCAAATATGCTCTGGGATGGCAGCATTGACTTCGCTCGAGTTTGATATGTACTCACGCAAGTTCATGCCAATCTCCGCAAATATTGCTTTCGACTCTTTGTATTTCCGGAGAGCCTCTTCTACGGTATTTGCTCGGAGTAGAATATTATCCACATAAAAATGGTCTATGACTTTCTTCGCTATCTCTGTGTTGTTATGGTTTGAATATGCTAATATAATAATGCTGTCAGACCGAACGGTAGGCGTGTGAAGCGGTACTCCGCTATATTTTCACGCGTTGGTGGCTTATTCGGATCTTTGAACCATAGGAATCTGCAAAGATCTTTGTGTTCTTTTTGCAGTCTTATTTGAGTGAATGCTGCCTGAATGTCACACATGAGTATTATTTTTCCGGTTCGGCTTGCAATTAGCATGCCGTAAATTTTGTTTTGCCGTAGGTCACACAAATTCTCCGGTGTGAATGACATCATTCAGCGAAAGCTGACCGTTTCGCTTGGAGGATGCGTCGAATACTATTCGAAGTGGTTTTGGCTTAGAGGGGCGCCATACACCTGAGTGTGGCATGTAGTAACAGCCGACGCAGTTGGTAACATCTTCTCTTGCATTTTCAATCACGTTGGTAGATGCGTATTCTTGGAAGATTTGTGTGTACCATTTTTGCTGTTCTTTGTTGGTCTGTAGATGTTTCCACAGAGAAATGAGTCTCCGAAAAGCAACTGCGTAATTGTCGGAGAGGTCGACCACATCGTCTTTCAGTGGTGGTAGTGCGGTGACACTCCCATTGTAGATCTGTATTTTCTTTGAATAGTTTTGGAAGTATGAGAATGTGTTCTCTTCTCTTGCCATTTCTTCTGGCGAAATCCCAAGACCTTGTAATTCAAATAGTTTGTTGAGCATCTCTGCCTCTGTTGGCTCATTGATAGCGGTGAGTTGTTGCAACACTGAGTCGTGTTGCAGGTCATCAGATAAGCCACGATGATCATTGGTCTTTGATGTGTTTGTTGAGGTTCTGTTGATAAGATTCCACGACCATGTATGCTGGGGCCGAAGATTGTTTTTGCGAGGTGCAACCCAGACGGTAGTTTTATAATCTGGTTATTTGGAGGGACGAATTGATAGTAGTAATCTAGTCCAACCAGTATGTGCGGCGTTTGATGTTCACCTTGCACTCGAGGGTTGCATATGCAGAGCTCGTTTAGCTGCAGGAAGTGTTTATCTTCCTTTGATAGTTTCACCGATGAAAATCCATTGGTGATTACTGGTTTGGTTTGCGCTCTTATGATGATTTCCATGCCATAAGCAGTGCAAATTTTGAGCGTTACAACACTGCTTTGGAACTTTTCTATATGCCCGCCGATTCCCGACATTGCACATATTTCGCTTGATTCTTTGGGAAGTGCGAGGTTTTCTGCAGTTTGTTCTCTGAGGAGGGTTTTCTGCGCTCCTGTATCAAAGAAGAACAATATTTTCTCGAATTGTTGCGTTCTGTGGTTCCACACGCTTCCCTCCGCTGTCATTAGAACGATTTGTTCTTTCCTTCTAGTAGGATCATTTGTGCTGTCGACATCGACACAGGCATTATTGGCTGTTGCTCTGTTTTGCCAAGGTCTGTTATTCCGAACGTCATTGGATGGGTCACCATTCCATGCTCTACTAAAGTACGGACCTTTCTGTTCCTGATTGTTGATGTGTGTAGGTGAGAGCGTTTTTCTTTACTTGAATGGCTAAAAACCGTTACTCTTGCGCTGAACGGTGGGAAAAGTCATTAACTATTATCACTGCATCCGTTTCAACCGTGAGCAGTTGCCTTGGAACACTCGCTGTTTGTGTTTGTCAGCAAAGCACATCCAGCAGCGTTGCTGTTTTTTCAAGATCTTTCATTAATGTCTGCTACGATTCCGCATTCTGCAGGCGCTTGATACCCTGGTATATGCTTGAGAAAACTGCGTAGTCTTGACTCTACCTATTTCTTTGCTTCGATTTCTTTATCTAGTTCGTCCATTATTTCTTCAATTCGCGTTTCCTCTTTATCTTGGGTGGCGATTAGGACGTTTTTGACGATGCACGGAAATTTTTCAAGTATTTTCTTCGTCCATAGCGCGTCTTCTGCGCAACGAATGTTTTGACCTGCTGAAACCATTTGGTTTATCAGCATTCTGATTTCAGTGATTTTGATTCAAAGACGTTGTTACGCGCGTCTGCATTGTTGGCTGCACGACGTAAATCAATTAGCTTTGGACAATTTTAGCTCTATTGACGGGTTCCCATGTTTTTTCCTCAGATCTTCGATCATCCACTTAGTTGTGGTTTTTGGTACTAATTGTAGCCCTTTACAGCTATTTCCGCTTGAAAGACAGCTTGCTTTTCCTCGCAATAGACCGAGACTGTCACTTTTCCATGAAGTGACAGTCTCAGTCTATTTCTTTTATGTCGTTCAAGAGATCTTTCTTGTCTCCTTTAGTTCTCGCTTCGTGGAATTCTTTTTCTAGTTTGTCGACGAGTGACTGCAAGGAGTCCCTGCTTTTGGTTTGATAATTTTGATTCCTACAGCGATCAGATTTACCGCAGTGGAGTACTCATCATTTTGTGCACGGTCGTCGCCTGTGGGACTTACTTCATCGGCGTACGCCTTGTACTTTTCCAGTAATGTGTTCAGTGTTTTTGCGCTGAATTCTATTGGTTTTTTGTGAACAGTCAACGTCATTTCCGATTTTCCTACTTCCTGTTGTGATAAGCTCTTTGAGCTCAGTATTGTATTGTTGGAAGGGTTGGAAGAGATAGTTTTTCCTGCAAGCTGATTTTTTTATTCCACGCTTCGATGGATTCATCTGGCAAAATGGGAACGAGTGGCTATTAATTTTTTTCCTATTAGCCGATGCACCAAGTTTTCCCGATCAGGGGCTTGTGCTTTGTGCGATCAGTGGTTTTGGTAGAGTTGGCTCTTTAAGGTTTATTTCGAACCGAACTCTTGGCAATGCGCCCCGTATCAGCGCCCTCACCCCCTTTTATAGGCGCCCAGTGCTGATACGGGGGAGCAAACACATCTTACAAATAATAAAGTCTAGAAGAGTCTATGCAACTTAGATAGTCTAAACGAGCGCCTAGCCAATAACGGTAGCGAGGAGGTTAGCGACCCTTAACAAATAGTGCTATCAAAGAGGTTGTAAACCCTTCATCTAACGGTATCTAAGAGGTCGCGCGGAGCGAGACACAGTCCACTTGTTCGCACCTCTTCTGTCGTTGTGGCAGAGTCGCTTGCGGTGTGACCTCACTTAATTGCTTGCTCGCTGCCTCCTGACCTCTCATCGAATTACGAGGTTTGATCAGTCATAGCACAGTCGGCAACGGCAGGATCCATAATAACGATTGTAGAAAATGTGAAGGATGATGGCGTGTCCGCCCCATCATCCGCAGCGGAGGGCGGCAACTGCACGCCGCCAGATCCGTGCTCCATGAAAAAAAAACAGTTTGGCGCCGTCGCGCGGACACGCCCCATCATCTGCAGCGAACCAGGGTATATGTTGTACTGTTTAGTCACCTCCGTGCTTACGAGGTGATGTCAACCTAACAATATTTCCAGTTAATTAGAAGTAAAGAAAAACAAATATTGCAAAAGGAATACACTCAAAAGCACAGGTGATCCTCGCTCTCTATCGCAGGCGAATCGTCAACCCCCGAGCTCGTCAGTGCGACAGGTCGACGACAAAAGGACATGGACTACATAGGGGAGGAGTAATTTTGAATTAGTTTAGTTAATGAAAGTTTTGTACTATTTTTTTACATATCCGGGTTCTCTACAAAGCAAGTTTCGCTACACAGGACTCAGCACACTGACACCTTTGCGCTGCTCGTTACTGACTGCCCCACTCATTACGACCTCCCCCTCTCCCAAATACGACCCCCTGTTGGGGAATCCCCAACAACGATGTGCCCTGCTGCAAATACAGATCTTTATTTTTACTGCACACAAAAGTAACTCACCATAATCAGCAATAGTTTGTTGAAATTGTAATCTTGACTCAACACGCAATGATAACTCCATATTAAGTGCCGTAGTTCATGTGACTGATCTCATGCACTTTGTTCTTTTGAGTGTATTCTGTGATTTTACACTTTTTTCACTCTAAATTCATCAGTTTAGAATTCAATATTCATTTAATACAGTCTATTCTTCACATTTTCTACAATCATTATTATGGCTCCTGCCGTTGCTGTCTGTGCTATAACTGATGAAACTTCGTACGTCGATGAGAGGTCAGGAGGCAGCGAGCAAGCAATTAAGTGAGGTCACACCGCAGGCGACTCTGCCACTATGAGAGAAGAGGTGCGAAAAAGTGGACTGAACAAACATCCTACACCCGCTGCTAACTTCTCACTAACACTGCTAGCACAATAAATGACTTGAGCTCGATGATTCGCTGTGATTTGCTTGTGCGTTCATATTTGATATATTGTACTGATTAGTGTTTGAGTGAATAAATTGAATTGACGAGTTTATAAAAAAGGACCATTTCCTCATTTTTGTGTTCAATCGACAAGCTAAGACCGCCAAAGCTTTTAGTAGTGATGGACAAGAAGCGATGTATCTTATATGATACGAAATTGCTTTCAAAGTTGCTTCTGCTTCAGCTAGCTGAACACAAGCGGGGACCCGTGAAATGCCTAGTTGTGAGGTCTTGACCGTTCTGAGCAAGTCTAGAAGTTGATCTTTTTTGACCGAGCAGTTCCCAAACTCTGAAGTGCTTTCGCTGTTTCAGCACGTTGATCAAGAGAAACCAATGCATACCTTTAATGTTCGACAACTCGCATTCACCATAGTTTCACATTGCTTTAGCCTACTCTTCCCCGATGTATTTTGTTTATGGTCCTTTACCATAAATTACCATAGCACTATGCAGGCCAAAACCAGCACCTGTTTTAAATAAACAAGCAAAAACTACCACGTAAGTCCTGCTGAGGCATGTTTGGAAAGCTCTACCACATAAATGACTGCTACATACAGCTCTCCAAAAAAAGCCTCGATACGATTTATTTCTTTTTATTTCGATTATGCCAGTGTACCATTTTTTGTGGAATAATCATAGTGGCTTTCTTGTTCAATATCATGTTCCTCGCTCTTGGGTGAGCTCAACAAGGAGAGATCAACAGTCGATTGAGCGGTGTGTCCCCATCCACTCAGTATCCTTCAGGCTCACCTCAAACCTCGTCTCCCCAAGGGAGACTACCTGTGAATTGAGTCCGCCTAACTGGCCTATCTAAATGTACACACAACGTAAGAGTGAATGCGAAAGAGGGGGTAGTGGGCTATAGCAATCGGGTGCGCACCGCGAGCTGGTTGCTCCGAGCTTGAGAGGGACGACCTCGACATGTCCCTGGGCGAAAGCATCAGATCGGTTCCAAAGGGTGCCTATCTCACCACAGCACGTGCTCTAAACGGCCACGTCAGTGGTGACAGAAAGAGTACAGAAAGGGTGCACGGAGTCAGGGGGATAGAAACGAAGAACACCGAGGGAGAAAGGGTCGTATATCTGGCAACGGCTTACGACCTAGCAGCAACACGTTTTTTTCGCAAAAAGGCCGGTGCAGAAGATAACCTGCAGCAGTGGTGTGAGACAAACGGAAATCGACCATGTGCTCGCAAGGATCTTCCTCAAAACCTTCGATGACATAAGGGTATGAAACGCCTGTCCAGTCCACTTTTTCGTACCTCTTTTCTCATAGTGGTGGAGTCGCCTGTGGTGTGCCTCCTAACTGCTTGCTCGCTGCCTCCTGACCTCTCATCGATTACGCTGTTCAATCAGTTATAACATGTTATAACATCATTTGAAGAATATGAATATGGATGTGTGAAGAACAGCCCATACTAAATAAATGTTGAATTTGAAACCAATGAATCAACAGTGAAAAAAACCAATGAAGACCTTCCTCAATTTGGCAGTTACGTCAAAACAACTGTGTAACTTTAGTGATAAAATAGTAAGCACTGTTTTTTCGGTACATGCAAATATGAGATATACGAACAACGTACACTTTCAGTCGTTCGTCTTTTACTTTCCTTGCGGCAATGGCAACAGCGATATCGTAATGCTTGGCGGCAAACTTAAGAAAGAAGATTGTAGAATGTTAATTGGACTCCTATGCACATCATGTCTATCGGACGTGCTTACCTGTTTTTACCAATATATGTTTGCGTCTCTCTTTGTTGTGGTAGTGCAGGAGCCGCTGTCTGAGATAAATCTGAAACGGTAGAATCACCAAGCAAGGAATCTGGTGCAGGCGGAGTTGGTGCACGGCGTGAAGGGACTGTAGATGGAAGTGGAACAGATAACGTTCCTGTGCTGAGAGCTTGGAGGGAACTACAACCAATGTCTAATGAAGCCGAATGCATATCATCAGGTAAAGTGGGTCCAGCTCTATCGTGACCTGCAAATATCGGTGAAGCGGTAAAGCTGGTGGTGTAAAGGATGAGGAAAAACTTGAGGTAAAGCGCCCACGTATAACGATGGATCGGGCGCAGACATTGTAGACTTTTGAAGAACCGAGGAGCTCATCTGATATGAAGGTGCGTTATTGGTGTCTATGTTGTAGGAGAGCTGATGGGGAAAAGAAAGTGTGTAGAAGGATGATGAGAGCTGCTGAAATTCGTCGCTGTGAAATTCTTAATCTATCCTATTCTCAATGAGTGCGTGAACAAGCAGTGCTGCAGATTGTTGTCACGTAGCCCTTGAATACTTCTTAGCGATAACCTTTTTTATCAGGTGTGGGGATAATGAATGAGGTTCAGGATAATTAAAACTGCTGACGGTCACATTAAATGAATTGACCCGCTTCGCAGGCAAGTGATCTCTTTATACATATCGTCAATGAACTGCGAATGGAGAGCCTTGTTTTCAAGTTGGAGGAAGGTCTCCATTAGGTTTTTTTCCTCACTCTTAGTTCGTCGCTTCAAAACCCAACGTTCATTTAGTATGGGCTATTCCTCACATTTCCATTTCCATTTTTTCACATTTATCCATATACTTCGAGTCATGTTACAATATGTTATAACTGATTGAACAGCGTATCGATGAGAGGTCAGGAGGCAGCGAGCAAGCAATTAAGTGAGGTCACACCGCAGGCGACTCTGCCACTTGATAGAAAAGTTGCGAATAAGTGGACTGGACAAACGCCCTACACTCATAACTCTAAATGCTGCCTGGTAAATAGCTGAACCTTCATCACAGACCCCTACTAGCGGACATTGCTCTAGATCGTCTTAATAAGAGAAGGGTAAGAATTGAGAGTGCGGTGGTGGAAGCTGCAACAAGGGGAGAAACACGAGCTCGGTGGGATGTACTCTAATCTTTAGATAGGTTGACCTTACTTAGCACCTTCCCCTACTCGCCTTAGGGAACCAAGGGGAGGTCGCCACGGTCTTCCTTCAGGCGTGCGGGGTGACCTTGCTTAATTGCCTTCACTGGCTGCTGACCTCACACAAGCAATGCTAGCACAATGAATGGATTGTGGGTTTTATACTGTCTGACGAAGAATATTTTGTTCTACAAGACAAGGTGTCTGGTTCCTTGGAAAGTTCAGCTCCACTGGATGTTCAAGAAACAATGGATCGACAAGTTTACAAAAGTGAACCTTTTTTAGAATAATACACGATCGGCCTCTGATCAATCTCGGCATTGACGTAATATTAGGTTGTCCGGAAAGTTCTCA